CAAAAAAAAAAAAAAAAATTAGCCGGGCAAGGTGGTGCATGCCTGTAGTTCCAGCTACTTGTAAGGCTGAGGCAGGATTGCCAGAGCCTTAGCAAGTCAACACTGGAGTGGCTGTGAGCATGCCACTGCCCTCCAGACTGGGCAAAGAATGAGACTGCAACCCCCCAAAAGATAAAATAAAGTAGAATAAAGATATTTTCTCTCATACGAAAGACCTCAAAACTTTTATCTTCCATGTATCCTTTCTCAAGAAGCAACCAGAGAACGTATTCCATCAAAAAGAGAGAGTAAACTTTTTAAAAGGCCACTTAGGACATAGGAGACCCAAAATGAAAGAGAAACAGAAAGGATCTTCAGGAAGATTGGGACGCGCTTCCAAGATGCAGGTGTGCCCCAGATGAATGCAGCAGTGTGACTCCTGAGACAGCATGGAGAGCTGTCATCTCAGGATAACCACAGCGATGTTCCCACGGACATATTCCTGGGCCGCCTGGCTCCTGATTTCCATCTGGCTTGACTTCATGTACCCACTCACTCCATCTTTCCCTGCTGCCTGGGTCAGCTGAGAACACCCATTTCACCCCCTGGGTGAGTTCTGCTTTGATCGGCTACGTGTTGGAGGAAGACCCACCACGAGTTTAGAAGCAAAAAATACAGAACTGCACTCTCCTCACGTGACCAAAGACCCACCAAACACGCACACACGACCAGGCCCCTGCTGTAGCCTGACCAGGATGTCCCTTAGGTTAAGAACTTGTGATGTTGCTCACTGATTACCTGACGCTCATGACTCTCAGCTATCTTCTCCTGGAAGCCTTCACTTAAGTATAATATCGCCTCTCCTAACTCAGCTTGATACATTATTTTTTCTTTTTCTTTTTTCTTGTCTTTTTTTTGTTTGTTTGTTTGTTTGAGAAAGCAGGATTTACTGAAAGGAGAGAAAAGCTCCCACAGTGGGAAGGGGCGTGAGGGGGTTGCCCAAGTACACTATTTTTCTAACAAAATAATAAAACACATTGTTTAGAAATGTTTCCACAGATGACAAAACTGTCAAAAAAAGTCAAGAATACCTAAGTCAGGATAATGGCACCTCTGTGGATAGGGAATGGGGAAATAACAGAGGGACACATTTAGTATTGTAAAATACTAGCAATTTCTGTTTCTTAACCTGCATGTTAGGTAATGCATATTCTTTCTATAATTCTTAAAAATGCAAATACATATATTTTAAAATTTCTTCCTTCTAGACCTAGTCTTCAATCTATATGTACGCATGTATTTTATACATTCTTCATTTGATATGAAACATTTCACCAAGAAATTTAGGTAAGTCACAAAACAAAAATCTAGTAAAAAAATTTTTAGATAGGACGTGCACACTGATTAGCAATGAATTTCCTATTTTATATAAGGCAAAACATACGAGTCCTACCTTTCAACATTTTTTTGCAAAAAACTTCTTTCCCACAAATTAGATACACGATCCATTGACTCCTCCATGCCCCCCGCTTTACAACCACAGCCTGCATTCAAGCAGTTGTCACCCAGCTGTAAAACCGCTGCTAACAAGAAACATGGACCGGTGAAGACTGCTAAATTTCCTGCCCATCAGAAACTCAGACAGCAGCATCCGAAGTTGCATTTGAACCAGTGCTGACCCAAGCAGTGGATACCGTATTTAGATGTAATTCAAGAGACTTGAACATTTTTTCCTTCCTCTGAAATCTAATCGTATTTTTAATAGCAAAATTAAACTGTGATTGTTTTATGCTGTGAGCTCCCCACCTCCACCCAACTGGTAGGAAATAAATCAAACTTTCCAAGCCACAAAATACTTGAGGAATACAATTCTGTACAAAGCTAATTCCTCCATCTATGGCTCTCCCCACCAATTAGAATTCTGGCACCATTTTTCTCTCTTCTATCTTAGTTGGGTTTGTTTTGTTTTAGAATTTCATTGGTTCCTTCCCTTTGACCATAAAAAAGCTAAAACCTTTTGTATTTTATTTAGTTAGTTAGTTTGTTATTTATTTTTTTGTCAGGTCTCACTCTGTCACCCAGGCTGGAGTGCAGTGACACACTCATGGCTCACTGTAGCCGCAACCTCCTGGGCTCAGGTGACCCTTCTACCTCAGCCTCCCAAATAGCTGGGTCTACAGGTGTACGTCACCATGCCTGGCTAACTATTTTTTATTTTTTATTTTTGGAGATGAGGTCTCATTACGTTGTCCAGGCTAATCTCGAATTTCTGGACTCATGTAATCCTCTCGCCTTGGCATTCCAAAGTGCTGGAATTACAGGCATGAGTTACCACATGCAGCCTCTTTCATATTTTAAAAAATTCAACTGTACTTTCTTGTAGCTGAACTTCTAACTGATCATTTCTTTTTATACCTGTATATGTGTCCCGGGAAAGGTAGTCTAAATCCATGATTCATCTACATACATCTTATAATCTGGATTCCACCACTTCCCCGAAACTATGCTCTCAAAACGTTAACAACAATGAAACTCTATGTCATTTTTCTCTGCTGCCTCTCTGTAGACTCTTAGACCCTGGCCATCCCCCTCATTTTAAAAATCCTTTCTTCCTACTTTCTCTGCCACTCTACTTTTAAGCATCTTCTCTGCTTCTTCTTTCATCTCCAGTGACCCATGTCCTTGGCATGTAACTTTGTTTTTTTTGTGTGTTTTTTTTTTTGAGTTGGAGTCTCACTCTGTCGCCCAGACTGGAGTGCAGTGACCGCTCCCGGCCACTGCTGCCCCGACCTGCTGGGCTCCGGCGATCCTTCCGCCTCAGCCTTCCAAGTAGCCGGAATTACAGGCATGCGCTACCACGCCCGGCTGATTTTTTGATTTATCTTAGAGATGAGGTCTCGCTGCCCAGGCGGGTCTCGAACCCGCAGGCTCAGGCAGTTCATTCACCTCAGCCTCCCAAAGGGGCAGGATTACAGGCTGAGCTACCAAACCCGACTGGTTTTTTTTTTTTTTTAAACTCGACACTGCCTTCTCAGTGCAAGCCGCTCACTCTTGCAGTTTTGTTTGTTTGTTTGTTTGTTTGTGTTGAGTTG